ACGGAGTGTAGCCAAAACCCAGCTCAGCCCAAAGCGCTTTAGAGCTGCTTTAGTTTGAAAGCCCGAAAATCCTTTATTTTTGTAGCTCACTTTCTTGCTTTTATATTTGCTGGTCTGCGGTGGCCTTTTTCATGTCTGACCTTAGCCAATCCTTTTGAATTCACCTGGGAAATCTCTTGGGTCTCGGCTTTTTACTTGTCTGCTTGTCTGGCCAAGTGTTAATCATAAAATTTGCATAATTCAAAATTGCTGATGCTTTTGGCAATGATTTCATGAATTTCATGAGGGCACGTTGCCGTAATTCAAGCATATAAATTGTAAACAATGAGAGTTGTCATGGCAACTTGACAAGGGAATGACTAAATTGGGTTATTTGCCAAGAAATTTAGGGAAAATTATAGAAGGGAGGGAACCAAGTTCTTAAGAAATTATATATATTTGTATATATTAGTCATAAAATATATACTTTAACTTTTGGTTTAGAATAAATATATACATATAAAATATATTTCAATCAATGGTATAGCATTTATGAAATATTTGTCATTGATTTTACATAAATGAGTAATGAGAGACATGTTTTTGTTTATACTTTGTTTATTTTGTATTCAATAGAATCGTTGTTCAATATTTTACGACAAATAAAATCCAAAAATATTACAGAAAATAGAAGGAAATGTATGAAAATATTTAACATTATTACCCATAAAAACGAAATTAACAAAAAGAAAACCAAAGTTTATTTAAAGGTTGTTAATAATTATAGTATTTTCAAGCTTATGGTGCCACATGTTATCATAAAATTCTTAGAAATAGAGAAAAAATAACACAAATTAAATTATTATATATATCACCAGACATATATTCCTCCTAAACGCAAAACTATCAAAGAAAATTATTAATTTGCAGTGCAAACAGTTGTCAAATTCCAGGAATTTCAATGTGTTTAATCATTTAACAGGTTCCTATTTTTAGCATTCTCCTTTAAATAATTTTTTAAATATTTAAAAACCTACTATATACCATTTTCCACTTAGTTATACATTTTTCCTCAGCTTGTCAACATTCTTAAAGTGGCCCTCGACCCGGGTAGAAATCAATGCTAATTGAACTCGAGCTCGATATTTGACTCAATATCTTTCGAAATTGTTTGCCCTTATTGTTGCTGTTGGCGGTGGCCCGCATAATTGGATGGCAGTCGCTCAAAATTGAAGGCAGTGTCAAGTGTCAACATCGATGATGGTGACGACATAAAGACTTCAGAGCGGCGGCGGCCAAGAGCAGCCGACAAGTGTGTCACATAGACGAGGCGTGAAGTGACGTCGAATGCAGCACGTTTGTTTTTTTCGGGGGTGGAGTGGGGTGGACGACAGCCGTGTGTGCCATAATATATAACATTTAATTGACATATGCTGCGCTTGTCAACAAACACGGCAGCATTTCCCTTTTTCCCTCAGACAGGAAAACTGTATACAAAACAACGCTGACAGCCTGCCCCTGCATTTTTCGAGGCTTTGGGCAGCTTTAAACTATGCCTGCCTGATATATCACCACGCTAATTGTGCATTCAGACATGTGTGCATATATAAATAAGGCGACTTGGACCGTCTCAGATGAAATCGTGCGAATTTTCAAACGCCTCTGAAACGCTTTTCTTGCTGCCAATTGGCTCTCGAGTTGATTTATCTGCTAAACGTTGATGACGTTTCCCCGCTAGTGTGTGTGTGTGTGAGTGTGTGCCAGTTTTTTGTTGCTCCTTGGCCGGCTGGTTGTTTGTTTGTTTTTTATTTATCTTTTTTTTTTTCGTTTTCCCCTCGTGTTGTTTTTGTTGTTGCTAGTTGCTGAGTTGTCGGCCTGTTTGTTAAACAAATCCGCGCCGTTAATTGCCGGGCAAAGTGTCACAGCAAAAGACAGGAAAACAAGGGGAGCTGCTTTTCTTCTTCGAAGAGAAATTCTCCCATGACATTACGACACTGTTTTTCTGTTCCTCGTACTTAAATATTTGATTGGATTTAAGGAAAAATGTTGAAAATATATGCGTAGTTAACCAAACTAAAGAGAGAAAGAATGAATATTATTATATTATAAATCAGTAGCTATCTAACTAGTTAATTCAACAAAAACTAAACAATAATTAACCTGAAATTGAACTTAGATAGCCTAAGCATTGTATCTCGTGGATGACCACGCAATGTAGACACATTGAGTCCTACAAAATTTATTGTAATATTAGAGATACTTTAAACTAAACAGTCACAGGAGCTCCCTTAACTCTGAACCTAATGAGAGATTTAATACACTTATTTTTACTCCCTTCAAAAGATAAGTTAATGCTAAATTAATAAATTTATTATTTATATCAGGGGTAATGACATTAAGACTCTACTCAAGTCCAAGAAGCCTTTATGAATATATTTTCACAGAGAGAAAAATACCTGGATATGAAAGCAATACAATATTTCTTAGATTAGTTATAATTGTTAAATAGAAAATTAATATAAAAGAAATAATGAGCTCTTAGTTGGAATATATCTCTTGTCTTGCTGTTTGTCACAGATACTTTCTCCTTTATTCAAGCATAAATAATTCAAATCAATAATATTTCATTTTAATGCTTCAATATTTCAAAATAAATGCTTAAAGTAGACAAATTTGGAAGATTTAGTATCTAACTCTATCTAAAAAACAAATAGAAACACCCTGATAGTTATCATATCAATTTGAATTGAGCACTTCTTCAGAAACATGCTCTCAATATTAAAAAGACTCATTTTCCCCAGTGTGTGTTCCAGTTTAACCCATTAGTCAGCGCGTCTGCTTGTCTGGCCGCCACTTGGACTGCCACTTAATAAATAGTTTGATGCATTACTCCTGCCCGCTATGCTTGCATTCAATCAATAGCCAGCGACCCCGCCACCCAAGACCTCTCCCCACTTGCTCCGACCATGTTGGTGCGTATGTTTTCCAGTGGCTTTTCCGCAAAATGCTTTTAATTCAATTTTATTTCAATTTAATTGCCACATTGCTGCCGCCACCGGGTTCGCTGTGTGTGTGCATCCAACAGAGCAGATAGGCTGGCAGGCATATGGTTATAGGAATGGAACCTGCCTATCTGCGTCGATCAGTTCGACAGCACAGCAAAGGCAGAGCTGCAGCTGATTACTTGCCCCAGCCACTCTCGATATTATACAATATTTCTGCGCTACTATAGAGTCTACACATATATATAGTAGCGAGTGCATCTATATCCAGCGTGTGGTATCGGATCGATGTGCAGCGGTTTTGTAATGGATTTCAATTCGATTTGTGCGTCTCAAGTTTTCTATGAATTTCCCATAAACAATTTTCAATTGAAATGCTTTGGCAATTGAACTACTTTTGTGAGATTTATGCATTCTAAATTGGCTGCTTTTGGCATAAGACTGAAATGAAATATAGACGAAAGCAAAAGCTGAAGCAGAAGCAGAAGCTGAAGCATCATCTCTGGCTTTATCCCAATCCAATTTAGCAGGAATAAATAAATAAAGTGGAAAATGTCTCTCTCATAACGCTCTTGATGTTCCCGGCTTGTGCGTGCCGTTGCGTTCATGTTTGTGACAGAAGGCGCGATTAATTGCTGTCATACAGGGCGTATGTGTAATATATTATATGCATAATTGAACAGTGGATTGATGGCTGGCTGGCTGGCTGAGAAGCTGGCCTCCATTGATAAGCACATTGAATGACATAAGTGAGACGGGCATAATTAATCTCCCAGTGACCTTCAGGTCCCTTACTCCCTCCCTTCGTCCATTATATAGCCTCCGATTTTCCCATTAAAACATTGTCGTCGCCGTAAAAAGTAATCACACAATTTTCTCAATTTTCCTCTCCCGTTACAGTAATCTCGGAGACCCACTGGCGGCGACATAAAGTCACTTTATCTGCTCGCAGCCATGGATTTTAGAAAGCATTTGGGTTTATTGACGCTCGTCCTGGTCGCTGTCCTTGCGTTTTACGGGCGCCCAGCGGACGCCTGCTCCTGCTATCCCGCCCATCCCCAGACGCATTTCTGCCAGGCAGACTACGGTGAGTTATTTCATATACATAGGGGGAGAATCCCTGCGAGAATTCAATAAATAAATGCCAACGCTTTCCGACAGTTGTGCAGCTGCGCGTCCTTCGCAAATCAGACACCATCGAGCCGGGCAAATCCACTTACAAAGTGCAACTCAAGCGCACCTACAAGGTAAACAGCAGCTGACATTGTCACTTGTTATACACAAAAAAAAAAACAGATTCCCAAGGGTTTTTATATTAACTTTCTTCGAGTGAACATGTAAACTAAGATCTGTACTTTAGGCTACTCCCGAGGCGCGGCGTATGCTGCGTGATGGACGCCTGGCCACACCTCTCGCGGACTCCATGTGCGGAATGAAGCTGGACATTGGAAAGGTGTATATTATAGCCGGAAAGATGCCGGCGCTTAACGTTTGCCACTACGTCAAGGAGTACACCAAGATGACCAAGACAGAGCGCCATGGCTTCAGCGGCGGCTATGCCAAGAGTTGCAGTTGCACAGTGAGTTTTGGGTTAAAGCTACCCATTTCAATTTCCTATTAAATTCTGGATTCTAAACCTTCAGGTGACTCCTTGCTTCCGTGATGATTGCCTGAGGGGACCGAACTACGCGGACGAGTGCAGGTGGTCGCCGCGCGCCAAATGTGAGACGGATTTCAGTGCCTGCATGCCGCACAAGATTAATACGAAGCACGGCATCGTTTCCCGTTGCCACTGGCGACGCACACAGCTCTACAGAAAGTGTAGGAGCGACCCATAAATATCACGGGAATCCCCCTTTAAATCCGCTCCCTCCCTTGTTACGCTACCCCGTTTCTCTCTGTCCAGAGCTTTAATACGTACGTTATGCCTAATGTGTTATTTATTAATTGATGCTTTTGAAAATGTAACCGGCTCCGAGCAGCTACTTAATTAGTGTCTAGCCTTTAATGTTCACTTACCAAATCGCGTGGATTGGGGAAGAACGTCTGTTCGATCAGCGGGAAGCCGTCGCGTCCCAGGCGCCGCTGCAACTGCAACAAGTGCGAGAACACCCAGGGTTTGTCCTGAAAAGAAATTCAAAAATAAAACCCTGGATAAACCCTTGACACATTTAAAATCTCCAAAACCTTACCTGGAACTGGTAGATCGAGTGCAGCGAGTTGATGCTGGGCACTCCGCCGTACTTCAGGCCCAGGATCGTGGAGCGGAAGTCGCTGGATCCGTCACGCGGCGGCTGGCGAATCAACACAAAGTCCGGCCGGAAGGAGCGCGCCACCTGGTTTTGTTGTTTTTTTTCGGTGTGATATTCCAAACAAAAATTTAAGGGATAATTAATAAACAGAGAAACTCACTTAGATTGTAGAATGCAAAACGCTTGAAACACGTTTTTTTTGTAATTTTTTTAAACGATAAATTCATGAATACAACAAATAAAAATAAATATTTAGAAGTGGAGATTTTTTCTTTGGGAAACACGAAATTTTACATTTTTCTGATACCTTTAATGTATATATTTTTATTTATTTTTTCTACTAATATTCTAGGAAGATTTTGAAATAAAATTAAGACCAAAGTACATTTTATGCTATGATGAACTGGCGCCACCTAGGTCTGGTTAAGCGCACAATACAGGCGGTGTACATTTTTTGCAGCATACTATCAGGCACTGCATAAAATGTTCGAAAATGGATTCCTTTTAATTAAACAACAAAATAATTAAAAACTATAAAATTTTTTAAAAATTCAGGAAGGTTTGCAAAGAATAAATTGAAAATTCTATGCTTAAAATCGTTTGATAACTAAACAAAGTAAATTCAAGATCTTAAGTAAATCTTCTTCGTTTTCCCACATAGCTTTTTAAGGAGCCACAAAAATCCAATTAACTGCTATAACTTTTTATAACCCAAGTAAAATATTTATAGAAACCTTAAAGAACAAGGTTCTTGGCCTATTTCCTCTGTAAACTTTACTTATACAGCATTAAATTTCTTTATATATTTATTATATTTCAAAAGTCTCTATCCTTAATCCATGTGGCGTCTAATTTCCTGGCCAACACAAGTGTGTCGCTTCGGTTGCGTATTTTTTGTAGAGCTACAAGTGTCTTTTATGGCCACTGATACACGCAAATGCAATGACAGCATCGTAAAGTCAACAAAACGACTTGAAATAAACAAGTGGAATTGGAGCGCCAGAGTGTCGAGCTCAGAGCTACGCAAATAGGGAAAAATGGGGAAAATGGAAAGCGGTCAAAGGCTGTTGATAGACTGTTGTGCCAAAGCCTAAGTGTTCCTTGGGTGGTGGACTAAGCACGCCCTGCTGGCCACCTAAAGTCCTCTTCCTACCATTCCATGTCCTTTGACGAGAGTCCCCTTCAATGTCTCTATTACTCTGCAGAGTGCAGGAGGACAATAAAAGCCCCGGAGCAGATAGCTCGGACACTGCCATTGCACTAATTAAGCGCAAACAACCCAGGTGGGGGCACTGCAAAAAACTGTTATTCATAAAAAAAGGATGGCTCCTAATTAAGACATAACATGTTGGCTGTAAAAATGATAATTTTGGGCCTCAGATCAGGTAATTCTGTTTAAATATTAGTCTGACTTTAAAAGGTAAATATTTACTTAGGATTATAAATTAGTTTTTGAAGAAGTAATAAAATTATAAATTTAATTTATATTTTTTCAAGTATTTCTTCAAGCTTTCTCTATTTTTAATAAGTTTTCTTTCCAGTGCCTAACATAACTCACCCGAGTGCCACTCCGATAGGCAGCCATGGTGACAACCGGTCCAGTGTCCGCGCTGGAGACCACCGTAATGTCCTGCCAAGGGACAACAGTAATTAGCCCGATTACCGGATGAGGAATGCTAAGAGTATGTGTGTAGGTAGGTACTTACCCTGAACTCGGCCTGCTCCACTCGGATGTCGAAGTCACCGTGCAGTCGCCTGCCGCGGAAATACTTGGACCAGTCCGTGTTCTGGTCATCGAGCACCAGCAGAGTGAAGTACTTGTCCTTGTTGAAGGTCGGAGCCCGCTGTGTGGCGCTCTGGACCGCAGCTCCTGTTTTATTATTTTTGTGTGGGGAAAGATGTCAGTCGAGACCATGTCCAGAAGCTAAAAGTTAATCCCTACACTCAGAAAATAAGTGCTCTTTTTGCCACAGGAAAAGTATTTATACTGATCACCAAATTTCTTTAAATCGAGCAAGTAATACTGGGTTTCAAAATGTTTTAAGATTTATTTAATATTATTTTTCAAGTGTCTTTGAACATGTTTTAGAGATTTTTAAGATATATATCTTTTTATTGAAGGAATTTCATTTTTTTTTAGAGTTGGATATATTTTTGGAAAGTAAAAGGTATGAACCTTTCGATTTTATACTTTTCCTTAACTTAATATATGTTACAGGAGCTAAAGGAGATTATTATTATTCATTTAAATGGAAATTTGATAATAGAAAACATCAGTTTCTGATCTCTTTAACTACTATTTATTACCTGCGGAACAATCAAATAATTTAATTATTAAATTCTACTCTACTTGAGTGACAAATAATGTGAATACCATGAAGATACAAAATTCCAATCTCAAAGAACACATGACTTGGAATGATTTAATGATTCCTAAAGAGTCTGCTTGTATGACTAGTATAGTATTTGTTCTGAGTGTAGGTGATTCCCCCCTAAACGCATTCCATTTCGTACCCAATATGGAGGCGCCCTGATCCCGGGCTGCGCCGGTCAAGCTTTGAACCCGCTGCAACAGAGACTCGCGCGACTTGGCCGGACTGGTCGGAGCACTCACTCCTCGCGGCGGAGCTGGTGCGGCCGTGGTCGGGGCCTTGCCGGCTCCAAAGCTCAGCGAGAGCTCCGGAGCGGCTCCAGAGGGTTGACCCGGAGCCGGGGGCGGTGGCATGTTCGGCGGACCACCGCTGGCCGCTGGCGGCTTTGTTGGCTGATCCTGGATGGGACGAGCCGCCGGCGGAAGGCTGTTGGGATCGACATCGTCTACCTCGGAAGACAAGTCTCCCGAGCTGAATCTGTTAGTAGTTGGGCGTGTGTGTGTGTGTAGTGTGTGTTCATGGTGTGGGTTTCATTTCCCGGACAAGTAAAGAGGTCACAGTGTGCGGTGCAGGAGGGTGAGGAGAGAGTTAAACAAATGGAGGGCGACACAGAGATCCGCCGGAGAGAAAAGATAGAGAAGGGCGAGAGAAATAGACGAACATATGAAATTTCAAATTAGTCTCGTTCAACTGGGGCCCCCGCTCTCTCTTTCGAGGGGGGCACTTCCTTTTTTAAGGTCTTTACCTTCTCTTCAGGAAATTAACATTGGAAGTGAAGCTCGATTTGAACGACGAGAAATTCAGGGTGCTGCTTTTAGGCTCCTTTTGAAGAAACATTAAACAGAAACACAGAGAGTAGAGTTAACGCTTAGCTAGAGTGCTTTCAATTTTGGGCATTCATTTGGCAAATACCAGAATTCACAGTGCATAGACATTAAGGCATACATATGTAGTAAGTTAAAGCGTCACATAAACATAAAATAAGGCATTCTCGGCAGATATATAACATATATACTATGTATGTAAGTCCAGCTATCTAACCCAATTCCCGTACCCTTTAGCTAATGGGATTCGGTGCTGTGGTCAGCAATGTTCACCTAGGGCAAAAGTTCTCCCTTTGATCCTGAACTTTCTCTAATTGAGTTAGCAGCGTTTGGCCCTCGGGGCGTATGCGCAATGTGGTCACTTCGAATGTGCATTTTCACAGTGAAAGATGGTAAAAATCGTAAAAAACATTACCGTCAGACGGACGGTAATGTACTGAAGTGGGTGGAAAACTCATTTCAAATTTCATATGTCCAACTGGTTTAATGATTAGTAAATTTGCATTTAATGTTGATTCGTTTACGAATCCCCTCTGTACATTATTTCACTTACAAAACTGCCCGGAAGGCAGAGTAAATGTGTTCGGTAGACCGTGAGATGGCAAAAGTTGCATTTTGCGGTTAGAAAAATGTCGTGAGATTGTGTGCAGCGGACGGAGATAGAGAGGTAGTCGAGAGTTAAGTGAAAACTAAAATTCCATTAAAAAATTTGCAATTAAGGTGGCTTAAACTGAGCTTTAATTAAAATAAGCATCACGAACGGGACATAAAAATAAATGGCATGAGGACAAAAGTAAGCTGATGGCAACAGGTGTACGAAACAAGGACACTAAAGGACAATGGCCATTCGATGGTATTTCGCAAAAGCTGCCAAAAGAGAACAGGGGAAATACACTGAAGATAAACTGGGGGAGTTTTAAGGCTCTTTTGAAGAGGTTTTAAGGAACTGGAATATAATATATATTTATTTAATATTTCTTTTAGAAGCTTTGCCAATTTTAAATGTATTTCTTTAGGAAAAAAGTCCTTAAAGTCCAAGCTCTTTGTGATTTAGGTGGCTTTTTTAGTGAGCCTTTTATATGACCAAGAGCCTTTTGTGTGGCACAAAACGTCAGAAATCAATTGGCAAAGATTGGGGCGGTGGCCTCCGAGGAAAACCCTGGTGCTTGGTGCTTGGTGCTCCTTACTCGGGCCATGTCAACAGTGTCAAACACTTGTGGCCAAAAAAACGGCGTTGTGCGTTTTGTATTTATTGTCGTGGCCCGCAGGCCTTTAGGCACTGCCAGTGCCACTTGAAACTTTTCAGTTTCCCCCTCTCTATATAGTATTATTATAACGGCGTTCGGTTTAGTCCCCAGCAAACACACAAGCGTAAAACCGACCGCCTGCGGGGCTATTTGTGTTTATGCGAAAAGGTTCGTGGGCCAAAAGTGGGAAAACAAAAGATGGAAAACTGAAAAGCAATTTGTTGATGAAAGCGAAGCCAGGCGTCGGCCTAATATACAGTATGTGTGTGGATGATGACGATGATGATGTGTGTGTGGCATATGTATTTTAGAGTGATATAATTGGGTGCCAGAGCCAAGCTGTGGTGAGTGAGCAGTAGCAGATGGATCCCAGATCTCGCTCTGGGAACAGTCTTACCGGTGGCGGGGCGCAGATTCGCCCACACCCTGCAGTTGCGATGGCGCTAATATTGACAGAGGTCGACAATTAAGTCGAGCAGTTGGCCTCCGTTACGCTTTTGGGGGTCTCCTGTGGTCCAACACAGAGTCGAAGGTCTATTTGGGCGCGATTTAAATCTGTAACAAAAGATAAGAGGATTATGTTCAGTCAACAAATAAATCAGCAAGCGGAAGAAACCTTTCTTCAAAGGTCTAGAAAAGGGAAAGGAAATGGCATAAAAAGGATTCATTTAATATTAGAAAACGGCTTCTTCTTTTCTAGGAAATACAAATTGTTTTTACATTTGTTTCTTAGGCAGAAATTTTAAGCCAATAAATAGCTTTCAAGATAATGCAAAATCATTATTTTTAATGAATTCTCAAGGACCTAAGCTATGCCATTCAATTAAAATTCATTATTTCTGCAAATATCCTTTTTTTCTATGCCAAACTTTAAGTAGGAAACCCTTTTATTCAGCTTCTTTCAGTTTTGTAACTTTTGGCCAAAAAGTTGTGCAAAAAAACTAAAGGAAAGACAGAAAGCAAATCAACTGGGACAGCTATCAGGCAAAAGGATGTCCAGCCAAGTGGACGAGTGGATGGATGAATGACTGAGCGACTGAATGACTGAATGAATGAAAGGACTGAGGAGGAGGCATCCCGAGGGACAGGAGCTGGGATGTCGCCTTTGTGGCTGCCAAACATTGTTTTTGGTTCATTGCACTGGCAGTGGCCGCTAACTAGGACAAAGCACACACAAACACGGATAGGGACACGGGCACGAACACATCCCCAGGCACGAAAGGACGCCGACCGAAACAAATCTCGAACACTTGCCACAAAATGTTGCATGTAAATAGCCGGCGTCCCTGGCACTGTGTAAATAACACCTAAACAAATCAGCAGGCCTAACCTTTTTTCTGTCCGTTCGTGTGCTTTCCCTTTTTATTTTTGTGGCCCCAGCTAAGTGCGGGAAAATTGCGTTAATGGGTCCCCGAGGGCCACGCGGCATACGAAATGCTGATTCACTTATCATAACTAAAATATTCAAGGCAGCGCAGGGTAGCCTACTTTCTTGCAGTGCCTCCGATTTGCGTGCTCCTCCGCCTCGGTTGGGATGCACATAAATTGAAGTTCATTACAAAGTCGAAACTATTAAAATTCGGCTATCAAAATCGCTTAGATTTTGGCCCAGCTTATGACATAAGCGCTCGTAATGAGTTATTGTGGCTAAGCATATTACGTATACGCAGAGGACGCCGCGCTGTCTGCGACGCCCCCACAAACACAAACACACACACACACACACGCGAACACCGGATCCTGGAGGCGGCAAAGGTTTCGTCTCTCGAGAGGATTTGCCCGAAGCTGTGTGTGAAGGCTGCACTTGCCACCAGGGACCGAGACAGGTCTGACATTTGGCATTTTCCTCTTCGCTCGGCCGAAATGTCAGAGTTCAGCGGCAAAGTGAACAGTCGAAGGAAATGAAATGCTAACTCGCAATCCACCGACTGACAAGTCTAACCAGAGCATATAGTAATCGATTTTAATATTGATGGCCCCGATTGTTTGTTTTCCCTACCAAAAATAGCAATAATAAAACTTATTCGGGCAACGTTGGCGTTGGGGCCAACCAACCGAAACTTTAAGCCTTATTAAATTATCCTCCTGCTTGGGCCTTGTTAGTTGCCAAATTAAGTTGGGCAGGCCCCATCAAATTTTCGGCTTTTCTTGCATAATTTATAAGCTTCTAAAGTCGGGTTACAGAGGAAGCTGTGAGGGAGGGAAGATTCGGTGGTTGGAATTTGTAATGTAATAAAGAATTTGTTATTAATAAACTTGGTTTATTTTTTCTATTTAAATAAAAATAAAATCACAGGACTAAATATTGATTTCCTTAACTAAAAACTAAAGTTTCTTATTGGTTTTCTTTACTGAGAGTCTCCTGTACTTTGTGGGTTTGTCAGTGAAACTGATTTGCGGAATACTTTTATACAACAACCTCGCTCTTCGTGTGTGCGAAAAGTTTTTGAATTAATAATCACAGTAACGTGTTGAGGGTCTCGGCAGTCGGTGCCTCGTTTTCTCACAGTTCTTGAATTCCTGCCGACTCCCGTTTCCCTGTTTTTTTCTGTGAGCCCGCAACTTTTTGGCCAGCACAAATCTGTGCCGGAAAAAGTTTATAGCCCGGCTTAACCCCTGCCTCGTGGGTGGTTTTGGGTTCGTTCTCGGTCTCGGGTTCCCTAGTTCAACTCACTGCGAACCACAATCCATCAACGTCAGTGGCAAATTAAAGTTCCTCTTTTTATGGCAGCTTAAGCAGTTGCACTGACTGTCAACTGGTTATATAAACTGCAGTGCAATAGAGGGGTTAAAAAACGGAGGAAACTCCAGCCGGAGAGTTGCAGCACCTGAAGCCACATTTAACCCATTTTCCAGTGGCATTTCCTTTTGAGGGAGCTTTGTGCTGACAAGTGCGTTGGCTCGTCATAAAACAGGGCTTAATGTCTTCTCGATGGTAATTAAAAAAGGCAACCATTCGAGACTAAACTGTGGCTCTAACTCAGGGAAAAGAAAGAAAGTTGTGGTTTCTTTTGATTGGGGTCAATGACTTGTCTTTGAAAATAAAGAACAGACAGTCTGGAGTCTTGGGACTTTTTATATTCTTAATATAATAGATGTTTCATGTTTGAATTCAAGTCTTTTCTTGGCTTTTCCTTGAATTCCAGGAACTCTTCTAGTCCCTTTTTTAGGAAGTTTTTATTCTTCTGCCTCAGGAAAATCAAGAAAACTAACCAAAACCCAAACCAAAGCCTCAGTGAAAACAATTTACCGTTGGATACTTCAGGGCGGTCGGTGGAAAATAGTTTCGCCACGACTTTTGCTGTGTGCATCTTGGATTTTTAATTAATTTTTACCAACCAATTAGCAGTATCAAAACCGCTACTCAGAACTGTTTGCCAAGCGACCGCCCGTTGGCAGTGGGTTTGTGGGTTAGCAGGTTGCCCTGGAACCTAGAATCACCAGCCACCCCCATGGAACACCATGCTCATCCCTCCCCCCTCTTGAGAACGCTTTAATCGCCTGCTAAGTCGCGCTCTTTGTTTTACTTGTAATTCAATAAAGCGCTGGAGGAGGTTCTCTATCCTCGGGGTCTCGGTTCGGTTCAGTTTTGTTGTTACGGCGTCTGTCTGCGGCGCTTATCACGTACCAGCACACACACACCCGCACACACACACACACACACTGGTAAAAACACACAGACACTCACACGCACACCGACTAGCTGATACAGAAATTCTTATATATTTTTTTCCTTTTAGCCGTGTTTCGATTTTTCTTTTTCAGCACTTTTTTCGTTTACCAAGAAAGCAAGAAATCCTTGGGAATTTTCCTGCCAAAAGCGCGTTTAAATCCTTGTAAGCGATGCCTTTCGATGACCAAAAGTGAACACAAACTTGCAGTTTAGATAATTTTTGTGATTTAAGCTAGGCGAATCGAAAGGAGAGCTAAAGGATTTTATTTTTTTGACTGAACTATTAACGACGGTGATGAAATTTTCACTGAGCGAGTTGGCTTTTTGGCCAAGAGTTTCCCACCAAAAGGAATGCGAGTGCAAAGGCATGTGGACAGAGAGAGAGAGAGAGAGAGAGAGTGAGTAAAGTAAGAGAGAAAGAAAGGGAGATTTGGAGAGAGAGAGAACCAAAATAAGTTAATTGTTTATAAGGACTAAACTTGAATAATGTATTGAAATTGACTACATAAGTATAAATATGTTTAAATAGTCGAAGACTCTATTAAAACTCTTGTTTTATTTAGGTTTTCATTGATAATTTCAAAAATATACCGTTATTTATGTCACGTTTTCCAACACTGACTACTCTCTTGAAATGGTTGACACCCCTTTGGGGGCACTGCGCATGCGTGGGCTGAGAGAAACCTGCGGGCGTATCGATTCATTGAAGTCTGCGTTACGCTACAAATGCTAACAACCACCGCTACACATGCACTGAGAGAAATTATTAGCACTTAAGAACAAGATAAAGGCTTGTCAGAAAGTGAATGATACATTTTTGTTAATTAAAATATGATTTAAAATAATTTAAACATTTATTGAATATAAAATTTAAATTTAATATATTATTAAAGGTTTTTGTTTGCTTTTAAAATTATTATTTCGCTTCTCTTATTCTTAATGAACCAAAAAAAATTAATTATAATATTTTTAAATTATATTTTCCTCAGTGTTTACTCCTCTAAAGGTTTATTTTTATCAGCAAGCGTGTCGAAGTGATAAAAATAGAGAGAACAACTGGGCCAATAAACCCGGAGAGCCTTCTTTACGAGCCAAAGCCATGGCTTTAAGTACTATTTCCGGCGATATGGCAGCGCTCTTGTTGGCCCGAAAAAGGCAGCAAAGCGTAAATGGCCAAAACACGAAGATGTGGCCAAAAGGGGCCGCAAGAAAATAAAGAGAGAAAAAAAAGCAAAACAAGCTGCCCACTAAAGCTTGGCTTAGAGCCGTTTCCGTCTCTGCGATTCAGTTGCCAACAAACTCTCGAGCCGTCAACGTGTCCAGCGGAAAGTTAAAAGCCAAATATCATTTGGACTTTGTGTTTTACGCGTTTCAAAAGCCAGAATTTCAGTGCGGAGTGCAGGTAGCTGACTAATAGCAAATAAAAAACAACTTTTCTAAACACACAAAACACATTAAACAAACGCCCCGATCGACAATAAGTAAACAATAAGCTGTTGCGTAAAACTTGTTTTCACGTGTTGCTCACACGTCTGCTCAGCAAAGAGCACAAAATTTATAAACTTTCAGAGCAGCAGAGTGTACAAAAACTAACTAAATAAATAAATAACTTTTAATAATACAAAATTACTGCTGATTATGGCCAACTTCATGCAAATCAAGTCAACTAAGTGTGTTTTATAGTTAAACTCCAAAAAAGTATATATTTTTTTAGTGGCTGGAATTTGCGCGAATTTGCGAGCAACATTCAGTTTTTCTCGCTGCTCTTCGGGTAACTCTCTTTGGATAACTTTTTACTCTCTTAGTTCAAGCAGATCTCGGTAGCCAAGCTGTTTTTTATTAACTAATAAAAATGACTAACTTTTTGCTAAAAGCTTTGGCACGACTGCAATATTGCACACAGATGCTGCTGCTGCATATGAAATCATTTAATTTATGAATGAGAATGGGAAAGACTATAACTTGTCTGTAGATATGTCTTTATTAATATTTAAAAATATCAGCTAGTAAAAGTAAGCTTAAATTTTTTTCTATTTTAAAAGGTTTTAGATTTTTATACATTTATTTTCAGTGCCATAAAATCTTTTTTTATACGTTTGTTCTCGTTCAGAAGTGCGTATGTGGGCGTGTCAAGCATTTCCGCTTGAGTTTGTGGCTAGAAAAGCGAAATAAATCAAATATGTGGGCCGTAAATAACTTCTGTCCGGAATAAATTAAGCTCAAACTCTATTAATTGCACATGTTCAGCATTGATTTTAATCTAAACTTTAATTTAATTCAAAGTCCAGCTAAAAAAAGGTTTAGCATTGATTTTAAACTAAGCCAAAATAATTCGCAATCTGGGATAACAAATGACACCTTTCAATATTGATTAGCTGCGGATTTGTAGCTTTAATGTCACATTTCGAGCAAATGACGTAAGTCTGGCTTTCGGTGCTTTTTTGTCCGGCAAAACAAACATATATATATATATATTTTGTTTTTCAAGCAAACTCGTTTGCGGCATTCCAACTCATTGTTTCATTTGAAGCGATTTGCGAAACCCTTTTTTCCGTCTAAGCCCGCGGCGCATTCGTCTTGATTTCGAAGTTTATTGGACGCGGTTCAATCGGGTCGGGGTCGCCTCGAAAACGAAATCACAGTACGTGAGAATCGGATGCGTTGCCCCAGATTGGAGGTTAAAGAGTTAATCAGATAAAAAAAGGGGCATATTAAAAGATTAGAAATCCGCTGTCCCGCTGCACTTGTGTCACGTTTGCGTACTTCAAAATTCCTAGAAAGTTATGGCCCTGGAAATCTTGAAATCATCTCAAATGGCTTAGAAAAATGCAGCTGCCGCGATGAAAACGAGGTGATAAATAACTTAGAGAAGCTCTAGGGGTTAGCTTTTTGTTCTCCGTACTCACTTTGAGTCACTGGAATGGATGAGTAACTTGGAAGGAATGGATACAAATAAAATACATTTGACTTGACAGCTGCGTGAGCTGCATGAAGTGGGCTATAATCAGGGCCAGACAATTGCTCAATTGGCTGATAAGTGTGTAAATGGGTAATTGCAGCTGCCCGAAAAGGATACGGCCCAAACGAAAGACTTAGGAAGCGAACGCGATGACGAAAGGCCAGAGCCCAGAAAGCCAGGGAAAATGGCTCCTGCCCATGCTGCTGCTGCTGTTCACTGCTGGACAGGTAAGTGAAAGATAATTAGACCACTTTCTGGATGTCCGGAATACCCGGACATTTCACTTTTCATTTGCATACAATAATGTTCTCTCTTTGCGGCCATAAAAACGAGGTTAACTGCCTGCCGGCCCGGCCCGGCCTGGCCCTACTTACTACTGGCTTCTATTTCCCTGACTTTGGTCTCAGGTCGCCGCGCTGTGCATTTTCCACGGCAATTTTCCAAGGCAGACAAATTAATGAACTCCACATCGACTGCAGCTGGGCCACTAGTTTATCAATAGCAATAACTCAGCGGGCTTAGTGCCCCCTGCCTTCGCTGGGTCTCACTCCGAATGTGCCACTGACCGATATCTTAACTTTTACCCAACTGCGACTGCCCAGTGCCCCCCCCTATAAATTGGTCCATTGTTCGTGAGCGCTTCAGGAATGCCTTTGCTCTTGGGCTTTCGGTTTTTTGGGGTTTTAGTTCTAATTTGATTTGGTTCGATTTCAGTTTTTCTCTATGAAATGGCACAAATCCATCATGGTGAGAGTTGTGCTAGGGCTTGGCATCATTTTGGAATTTAGTTCAAGTCTCGAGGGGATTTTTCTTGGGGTTTTGACGTCGTCAGTGCTTCTAGGAAACCAGGCTAGATTTATGTTTATATATATTCCGGAAAATCACTGGAAATATATTATTAAATATATTTTTACTGGATTTGATCTATTGACTTATGTTTGCCACAAAGAAAACTGCAAAGCACTCAGAAAACCCCTTCCAGTAAGCCTTCTTCAACCTCTTGACCATTTTATTGATTTCCTGACAATTTGTTTGGACATTTCCATACATTTTTTTGAATATCCCGCCCTTGTGTGCGCCCACTCCTGGTGCGGACCTGATAACGGGTCTATTGAACTATCCGTCGAAGTCAGCGGCCGACGAAGAATGACATCATAAGATGCCGGGCTTTATGGGCGTGGGTGCTGAAATTCGCTCTTTGGGCTTGGCTTAAAACAAAAAACACAAAAAAAAAGAGAATCTCAAGTACAGAAAAAACGCAGACAGGCGGCCAAGTTAGTTGGCTTTTGGTTAATGCAAAACTCACAAAACCTTGAAGTGTACGTAAAAGCAACGGCAAACAAAACGCAGTCAGTCTCTTGGTTAATTATCATCCCAAGTCGCATATAATGATGATAATGATAATGATGATGATGATGATATAAGTCTGGCCAAAAGGCAGACGAAAATACATGTGTAAGCTGTTGTTTGTGCGAAAGTAAATCTCTCAGCAAGTGTGTGTGCGTGTTAAGAGTGTGTAAAATTGAAACTTACTAAAGTTGGCTTACGGTACTCTGCCAGCCCGCTTTTCACACTCATTAAACAATAAATGAACTAGCGCCTTTTACGCTGTGTTTTTCAGTTACTCCACAAAGGTTGTTAACACTCAGGCAAAGACCAGAAGCCAAACATTTGCATTTTATTTATATTCAGCGAAGGTATCAAGTTTTTTGACTGGGCAAAATAATAACCAAAGTCGAGGAGTGACAAATTCAAATTTGTTTCCTTAGATTACTTCTGAAAATATAATAAATGAAGACCTTTCCTGATCTTAAGAAATAAATTCAGAAATTAACTGAACTTTTTGCACTTTAAAAACCTTTAAAAGTCAACCCCCTTTTCACACTCATTTATCAATAAACTTAAGCTTTTTCGGTGGGTTTTTGGTGTTTATTACCAAGCCCAGAAGCGAATCTTGTCAATCGATTAATATTCCCGCCATACCCTCCACTTGACATAGAGATGCCCAAAACAAGTCGATGGTTAACTCACTTTAATCGATGTGACGCCTTATTTCGCTTTTAAATATTTACTTGCACATTAGCTTGGTGCGAGTAGTTGTTATTTATTGTTTGTTTTTGTCATTGCCATGTTTTTGTTGTTACGGGCCATTAAAATCAGTTTCAATGTCACCGCATACCAACAGAAATCTGTATATATATACAGACAGAAAAACACGCTGAAAGCGAACGAAATATGCTAATTCTCGAAGCCATCCGATTCAATATGAATATATGGCAATCCATACGTATATCTGTTTATAATGAGCGAGCCATGTCGTCATGGCTCGGCCAGCAGCCATATACGACAATGCGAGCAGCCCACCAAGTAAAAAATTTATACAAAATAAGAGAAATAAAAGCAAAACAACAAACAAGAATCTGGCTTTTAGTATTTGGCGGGGGAATGGCGACCACAGGTAGCTTGTGTTGCGGTCAAAAGCTGTGAGGATTAACCCGAGCTTTGAGCTAAGTGCTCTAAATTTAAGAGTCTAGAAGCCAAACATACTCAGGCAAATTAAGGAAATATGATCCTTGAGTTATTATAAAGACTAAACTTTAAAAAACTGAGGTTAAAAGTTGGAAGAATATTAAATAAATGAAACTGTGAAGAATAAACTCACTTAACACTTAAGCAACTTAAAGTTTTGATATGTTTTATTTACTTTAAATCTTCAATTCATCTTTAAAATGTTTTCAGTTAACAAATTAGAACTCTAGACATAACCTGCTCTAGAAACAACACCCAAAAAAATCGAAGCACTCGAAAAAAACTCTTGCCTGGAGCAGAGAAACTTGAGCTACCCACTTGCTATATAGTATTCCCCCTGCGAGGGTATCAAAATAAACCGCAAAGCCATTCTTGACTGACAAGCACGTGCTCCATCACGACCGCTGCCAAAAGGCAATTGAAGTGCCCCACACTGGTCTTAAGCCCCTACCCCTAACTGCTGCGGTGGCCATAAAAACACATGGAATGCCTATGAATATGTACTCAAAAATATGATTCATTGTTTACTTTGACTTGGTTGCATATATTTTATTTCTAAGAACTTGAGATGAGCCAGCGGGTAGCACATAGTAACTGCTGAGAGAGAGAGAGAGAGATGGGGGTCTTGAGCTGCTAAACAAAAGACTTAGACAACGAACTCGTTGATTGTCTTGACCATTTCATTGAAATTCTTAAAGTTCTTGTTTATGATTCCGTATTTAGTTTTTGTTACCTCGTTTAAGAGTCTGTGTGCTAACGGTTTCATGCCAGATACAGTTGGTCGGGTTGGCTTTATCAAAAAGAGCTGGGGATTTATTTGCCGCCTGATAACCGCAGAATGCCAGAATGCATATTGGTTTTAAGTCGGGCTACAAAGCTATTATGCTCTAATTAACAGAAAATATGAGCAGCCCGAAGATGGTTACAAAGTGACCACAAATGCAATGACCGGGTGCAGTAGAGATGGAGGCTGGTCGGGACCTGCAGAGAAGAAAATAAAGAGTTAATTGAGTTAAAATTTTATGTTAAAATATTTTCAATACATTAAAAAATAAATTCGTTTTAAGCTTAGGTAATTTAAAATTTGGAAAACATTGATTTAATCTTCAAATTTTAGTATCTAATATTATTAGAGATTAAAATAATATTTCTTCAGTCCAAATAGTTTATTTTAATTTCCAAAATAAAGATAATAAAAGTTTAGCACGTAAAATGATTATATTTACTAAACCTCATAGGTTTGATATTTTTACAATATTTTTTTGTATGTGTTTGTGGCTTGGGGTTGTCCATAAACTGGCAACTGACGACTAGCAACTGGCAACTAAAGACTGGCGACCGGGGCAATTAGAAGAGCAACCAGTTTGGTCACTGCACGCAACGCCAGATCACAGCACTGGGTTAGTAGTATCGTCGTCTGGTGGATGATGTCTGGACAGGAAGCCGCTGCCATTGCCGTTCTCGTTGGCCGAATGGATGGCCATTAGATCGAGTGTGCGCAGTTAGATTCCATGGTTAGAACTCTTGGGGAGCGCCGGCAGCCAGGAGATGGCCAACAAAAATAGCATGTTTATGTCAACATCAAAACATTTGGCCACGCAAAGGTGTGCTGCTAGAGCAGTGAAGGCACCTTGAATTTATTTTTCCAAGGTGTGTCCTTTAGAAAAATATCTGTAAAATTTATATTTTTCTCTTGAAGGTTCTTAGATTTTTGCCATAACTTTTATCCTTTATTATTATTTGCTTTGGTCGAGCTTTTATACATTTTTCCCATATATTGCTGGTTTTATTGCAGGCGCTGGAAACTAGTCCGATGAGATCAAAGCCAAGCGGATTGGCATATCCGAGCCACTGAGTTGGCGCAATTTAACGCCGCACTGATCTTGCACTGTGCGAATTATTTCGCTCAATGCTGTGCGAGTTGGTGTAGCGTGAAATTCATTAAAATTTATGCAAAAGTGTTTGGCATATTGGGTCATCGGCGGTCGCCGGAGAAAGTTCTTTCTTTTGTTTGACTTTGGCTTTGGTTAGCACATTTCGTTATTTGATTAACTTGCATTGTTCACCTGCAGCCCGGTTTTATTTTGTATTTTTTCTAGATTTTTAGTTCTCCCGTCAGTCGTCGTCAGTCGACAAAAAACAATTTAGCAATTGTTTCTACCTTTGTTTTTCTGCTCCAGCTTTGGGGCCGGTGGGTAAAAGTAGGTTTTATTCGAAACTAATGGGAAAAACAATTTCCCCCACTCGCTGCACCGCGGCCTGTCATTGAGGCTTAGGCCCGGAAAGTCGCTTCGGGTAATTTTCCAACTCAGTATGGAGCCCAGTTTGCTTTCAAATTCTGTCCGAGATGATGCGCATGGAAAGTGCACATTTATGAAAATTGCAGACACACCGAGGGCTCTTTTTGTTTTGCTTTTTGGGCTGCTGGGAACTGATGCTCTATGGAATCGCTTTTTCGTGAAGCTAAAAAAAAAATACAGAAAATGTCTTTTGGCAGCAATTAAGGCGATGGTCAAAGAAAGTGTGACAACTTTGGAGGTAACTTGGCATCACGATAAGCAATTGTTTCAATCAAACAAATAATGACTAAGGGGGGCTAAATCAACTCGAAATGGAAAATGAAAGCCAAGTCTTGGAAATCATGTTAATGTTTTGAAATTTTTATAAATTTTAAAGAAGAATTTAAACCTAAATGGAA